ATATTGCAGGATATGTATTGCAGAATACACATTGTAGGAGCTTGCTACTAAAACCGGTACGTCAAGCCTCGATATGTATATTTGTTATGATAGCTGGTTTCTACACGAGACAGAGAAATTGCGTGCGTGAAACGATCTAACATACCTATCAGGGATCACACTGCATTCGAGTCACGGCGAGGTGTGCATTTACTATTAATTGCTAATATAACTAATAGCAGTTTCCAAGACGAGCAGCGCACCAAGTCAGACCACTTTAATTTAGGATATTTTCGTGCGCGATTCGCACGCACATGCCACTCGATAATATACTACTATCAGCTTATTATACCACTTTCGCGTATACCGAGTAAACGTAGACTCATGAGTTAACGTAGCATGCCAAACGAATCTGCACTTTCCAACAAATATGAGCGTGTCAGATCATGCTGTGATGTACCGAAATTGAAACCATGCAATATCAGAGGTGAGGCGAATTACTAGGTAATGCGCGTACAACTTGCGATAGTATTTTATAAGGTAATATATAATCGTACATAGTATAGGTATATGGTTATTAATTATACAACTCACGCGACTGTTGTTCGAGAGGTGAACCCAGCACTGCCTGCACAACATAGATAGCTGAAACAAATAAAAGCAACATAGTTTTACGCTGTTACGCGTGCTGATTAACTCGTTCTTTTGCCACACACCTGTTTTAGTACATCTCTCCACGCAATATATATCCATCCGAACGCAGCCAATGGTAGGGTAGGTCGTGGCGGGAACCAATCCCATAAATCTAGCATTCGTATCAGGTAATCTGATATAAACGTAACCTGATGCTAATCCTGATACGTAACCTCATCCGGATACGTAACGATGCTGGGTTTACGTAACCTTGTTGGGTTTACACTATCGACAACTATATGCAAACAACTTGGCGTTTTTCTTCTTTCTAATACCGCTTTCACACTGGGGTTTATCACGCTTCAGGTCCGGACCTGAAGCGGGATAAACCCCAGTATAAAAGGTCGAAACACCCTTAGCCCGAGCTAAAGTCATCCCGCTCTAG